ATCGACTGAGGCAGCGGAATCAAGTGTTGGTAAGCAGGCAACGGTGGAGGTGAAGTTCTGCACCTGTCGCACAGTCGGGTGCGTGCCCGAGGAAGAAGAATAACTGTGCTCTGGAGAAGCCTGTTCGTGGGCCAAGACCTAGCGGGCAGAACAGAAAACAGGCCTGGACTCAGAGCTTGATGGATTAAGTGATCTAGTTCCAGGAGTGGGTCGAGACTGAGATGAATTGCGGGCTTGGGCTTGGGCTTGGGCTTGGACGTGTCCTTTATTAAAAACAGGCGAGTGCATTTTGGGCTTGGGCTTGAGGCCCGGTGGGTACCCATGTAAGCGGTAACACCTGTCCACAGTGTGGCCCCTGAGCCCACAGTGTGAACAGGTGGGTCGTCTTCGACCTTGAGTTAGGGCAACAGAAGAACCAGACCCCACAGCCGCCTCTGCGCACACGTCGAAGTTGATCTCACGGTGCCGTCCTTCTTGCACCACCAGCGAGAAAGCCTTCAAAATGGATGGCGAACATTCCATCATCAGGATTTGAGCCCTAACAGCAGCGTAGGAAGGATTCAAACCCATCAAAAAAATCATCACAAACTACTGCTCCTAATAATCATTCCATGCCTTCATGTTTCCACAATGACAGGTTGGAGCTGGTTGGTAAGTTTTGAGCTCGTCCCGAATTGTTTTCATTCGCGTATAATAGGCGTTGACGTTGAGTGACCCTTGAACAAGGTTATTCATGCTCTGTTTCAATTGGTAGATGTGCGGAGCATTGCTTTACTGATAACGGAGACGCAAGTCTGTCCAGATAGATTGTGCATTTTCATGGTATAACAAACTATCAGCTATCTCCCTTGTTACAGCATTCAACAACTAAAAAGTTACCATGCTATTGCAACACAACCAAGCTCCGGCAGTGGAATCAGTGTTGCTCGGTTGATCGTAGGTTCCGTCTATAAAACCCAATTTGTTTTTGGCGTTCAATGCTATTCTGATTGCTCTCTCCCATGTATTGTAATTATTGCCATTGAGGAGGTTGGATACCAAGACCAACCCAGGATGGTCGACACTGTGAAGGAAGAAGGGGTTTTGGGAATCACTTGATTGCTCTCTAGCCATTGAAGTTTTAAAGTTTGAAGCTCAATCACTGAACTAAAAATTGTTTGATTAAAAAAGGTTCTCTGATACCATGTTGGAAAGGAGAAGAAAGAGAACAATTGAGAAAAATTACTCTGATTTTTCTAATAGTATTCATGGACAACAAAAACTATATGCAGCTTATTGTACAATGGCAAAGAAAAAAGACAAAAAAAATAACGGTTACAATTAACATATTAATTTTATCTAATTTAATCACTAATTAATCTTAATATGCTGCTTATGGGAGTGGTTTTTATGTCCATCATGGCAAAATGGGCTTGAAACTCGGTTTGAATTACTAATAAGATCATCTTTATTGTTCATTGTTCTCCTTTGAAAAAAAAAAAGTAGATATAAAATTTGTTTCCCTTGGTGTGATTTTTTAATTTACAATAATCTAATTTCTTTTCTTTTAATAAATTAGTTGGTGTGTGACTTTAATATAAATACTTGAAATTAATTCTAATCGTAAATATATGTAAATTTAAAGGCTATACAAATTTAAATTTAAAGTGAAAATTAATTTAGACTAATTCTTATAGCGAACTATAGCAAAAGAACATAACTAATATAAAACTCAATTTAAATACTATAATTCTACCATAATGTATGTAAGAAAGTATTAAATTTTAAATATTAAATCTTCACATTAATGTTATGTAAATTGGTTTCTTCCTGGAAAGACAATTTTGATTTTCTCTCTCCCCCTATTCGTGTTCCTCCCTAATTTCTTCTTTACTTCATTTTTTTTTTCTTCTAAAATTTAAATGAATATAAAAAATTAAATACATAAATTTATTTTTAAACGTACCTTCTAAGAGGTTTCTCAAACAAAATTTTGAGAAATTTTCTTAAAAAAGTAGTCGAAATTATTGTATGGACGAGAACTGATTGCAATGACAATTGACATTTTTGATCCACCATATTTTTGTTTCTTGACTTGACTTGACCTAAACACATATACAAGTCTTCTGCATGTATATATATACATATATATATATATATATATAGCTTAACCAAGTTAAACGCCCTCGGTAGTGCTCGTTTAAGCTCAGTCCAACTTAGCCTTTGTAATAGATCAGGCCCAGGCCACGCTCTCTCTTTAAATAATTTACTTTTCAGGCCTGAACGAATACAATAAAATTGTCGAGATTTTAACAGCCCTAAAAGGAATTTTCAGACATTTCTAATAAAATAATTTACAATTACTTCTCTAATTATAAAGCCTCATCATTTTATTATTATTATTATTATTATATATTAATAAAAGGTTAGATTGAATGTTTATTTAGTCACTGCAGAATTTTTTTAATTTTAAAAAATAATAAACTCAGTACTACAAACATACTAATAAATTAAAATTTTAAATTTTAGTTTCATTGAGTTTATTAGAATCCGTAACCCGAATAAGCTGGAAACCTTGTCTATTAGTGATTATTGAGGAGGAAGATTACGATATTATAAATATATATTTATATATATATATATGTAGATAATATCTTAACGTCTAAATGACTTGATTAGTTTTATATATAACATTAATAATATTAGTTTTATGTGGCAGGGTTTTGAAAATGGTTCCTACATTAACTTATGCAGTCCCTGACATGTAACTGTACTATATTTTATATAGATATACATCTATGACCAAAAATATTAATACAATTATATCATAATATAAAAATGTTTGTATACCTAAATATTAATATAAGTATAAATGACAGCTACAGGGATATAAAATATTTATTTATGTATATGTAGATGATGTATTAA